AGGTGACCCAAAACGCGAGGGGGACTTGTGCTATCTGGAACAGATGACCAGTGCTTTTGCACACGTGCCCTGAGTTTTATACCTGGAGGATTCATCTGTACCGTTAAATTTGACACCCCACTCCGGGAAAATTCATTTTTCAATAGTCAATGGAGTCCGTTCATATTCTTTCTATTTTCCCGCACCGCTGACGAACTCAAATTTCCAGTACGTCAGATTTTTTAGTTCATTTTTCAGATCTATCAAGATTTCGAAGAATTTCGTTACTTAAAATTGACAATTCAAAAAAATTAACGGCAAAACTTTTGTGAAGTGAATTTGTTCTAGAATCGAGGGATAATCATGCGAAAATTGAATATCTCCATTTTTTACAATCTAAGATAATAAAATGGCGAATTGGAGAACAGTTTTACGCTTTTCCTTGGAATTGTTTTTCTCTGACTTTAAGAGAAATATTTTTATATAGTAAAAAATATAATTTTTCAAACCGCGTTGTGAAAATTCACTTTACGTAGTAGTAACACTATAATAGTACATTACGACACTATAGTAATACTACTTTTTGTAGGACGAAAGCCCTTTTTTCACATGTGTCACGAGATAAAATTATTGAAATATATTTATTTCTTATTACAATATGCCGAAAAGTAACATTTCAGGCTTTTCCGCACTTGTTACGAAATATACTATTATCGCGCAGTGGGTTACGTGAAATTTTCCGCACGCTAGGCAGCCAAAATTTTTATTCTGTCCTTGTTGTCGCGCGGCAATGTCTGTAAAAAGTTTATGCCTTGTAAAACGACGCAGATTAAATCACAATTTTTTAACAAGATATAGTCTCACTTGATTCATCGCATTGTGTAGCTGTATAAAATATAACTATATATTTTCTTAATTATGCGAACAAAATCAATCAATTCGATTTTATTTGGCCGTATTCAATGATACGACTTCCACTCCAAACCATTTTTAATTGAAAAACTATCGAGCCGTTGATCAGAAAAAAAATCCTAATCTACTACGCGCCATTTAGACTCGTGAAAAATTCTCCGAATGTGGAAAATTTCTATCTCCAGTTCAAAACAGATCTCAAATAGAAAAAGATGATTTTGCAACTACTTTTTTGAGCTATTCACCGCAAAAATTTAACCAAAAACTGTCGAGTAAATATTTTACATGACAATGACCTTAACTGCGTCTCAATGCACCACGTGTATTGAGCAAAAAGAGTTCGCCAGAGGAAATCTCGTTCCCAAAATGAAGAAACAACGAGCAGCTCGTAAAATGCGAGACCTCCGATTGGACGGCGATGTCACACCGCGCGAGGCCCACCCGTTGTATGAAAACTAGGTCACTAAGGCCCAGCAGGAAGTTGCTTCGAATCCGCAGACCCGACGAAACTCCCAGATACTCTCTTTCTCAATTTCCAATAACAATACTTGAACGAGGAAAAAACACGTTGGTAGTGTCAATAAAAGTCACCATAGGGTTGACGAATCGTCGGGTTATTCCCTTCCACCGGGTACAGAAATACAGTTGTCCCTTTAATGGCCGATCAGATAAAGCAGTCACCTTCTTGTCCAGTGCTGGTGCTCTCTTCCTACCCCGTGGCAGGCGTTTTAGATCGTATCAACCGTTCACACGCTCTCAAGCAGCTCTAAACCTTCCTCCACTGAATCCTGTCATTTTTTTTTGTTCTCGTTCATTCTGGCTTGATGTCATTATAAGATACTTGGCCAGACGTGTTATTATGAACCCTCCGGAGCATTAAGTATTGTAAACAAATCTGAGACGGTTTATTCGATCGTCATTAACAGCTTGACGGATTGCAGAACATGCTGAGAAAAAAAAATTCACACCTCGTGTCATTTCCAGAAAGTTCCCAATAGCTGTAGATTATTACAATTGTATACCTTCACACAGTCATTGCGTTAATTATAAACAATTTTCTGAAATAAATGGATGAATGGGAAAAATTTATTTTTCCATCAGTAATCAGATTTCTAATTGTCCGAATCCATGTCCCCCTGAATTATTTAATTAATTCATTAATAGTTATTATTAGATTCGAAGATATAATTCAAAAGATAATTTGAAAGCATGGAGATAAATCGAGAATAATGCATTGAATATTCGGATTTTAATGAATTTGATGATCGAATTTTGGAATGAGTTTTTGGATTGCTACAGAGTGTATGACAGTCACTTTCACCAAGTGCACAATTGCGACAGGCCTTTCCTCACCCCAGATTGTCTCCGTTCAATCCAGTGGCCCCTTACACATAGGGCATGATAACAATGTGGAGTAACAAATACATGAGTTGTGCGTGTAGTTCATGTGCCTCTAGCTACGTGGGTGCGTATTATAGTCGAATATGAGAGTCGGTCATGCGGTGTGCGGCCTCGTTACACAATATAAAATAAGAACGATCACTTTTATTCAACTCCTCACTGATCTCACTCACCCGTTGTCTCGAAAATTTCACCCGATTTATTATCCCGACGTAACGCACTCAATGCGTAACCTGCTCTCGTTGTCCGACATACTCTCTCGATATTAATTTAATTTTTTAATTGTGATGGCGACTGGACTTGTATGATTGACATGCATCATTGATCTGTTCCGTGATTGTACCGCTGAAACAAGGGGAATGGAATTTTTTACGGGGTTACACCCATGTGGCATAAATGGTTAAATTGCTGAGTGCTTCGGGAATTTTTATCGACGACACGGGAAATCATGAGTGGACAGAATCTCGGCTTTATTAAATTCCACAGCGGCACGTGATTCGTTTTAGATCAGTGAGAAATTACGCAGGTTCATAATCAAATTTTAACAATTGGAACTAATTTTGATGATTCGAGAGAAAGGAAATGCTCTCACCTGTTTCAGGTCAGTTATTTTGGGCATGGAAAATGTCGACTCATGGAGTTTTAGATTTTTATCTTGAAGATTTCATCTTTCTGATCGGTAATCTCAAATTATCGTATCTATTGATTTTTCGTTGATGCATATACCATTTCTTGTTTACTACAATTACAAATTTTTGACGATTCCAATAGATAATGATTTTGCCCAACAACTCCCATGGGTTTTGAAAACCAAAGACTTTTTGTCAAAATTACCAAAAATTTTATAATCTTCCCGGATTTAGGGTAATCTTCGAAATTTACGGTTGTTTGGCATGGTCTGACGAAGATATAAGAATTACGTGGAATTTTGACATAATGTTGTTGAAGCGATAACAGCGATAACATTAATTCCCGACCCCGTTTTGTGGTTATTAATTATCAAAGTTCTCCATTATCATGGCCTTTTATGGAGAATATAAAAAGATTCTGTAAATATAGTCCAAAATATAAAATTTTTTTGAAATATTAAAAATTGATGATTAAAGCAGATATAAAACAATGGTAAAAATTTCATGATTATATAATAATGTAATATAAATATAATATGATATAATTCATGTAATAATTTTTTATGACTATTACTTCAACTAATTAATGCATTGAAATATTAATTGACAATTAATTAGAAATAGAAAGGGTCATAAATTTTTGTTTAACTATACATGCAGAACATCTTTAAAGAGAATAATAAAATTTAAACCGACAAGTAATTACAAAACGACTGATTCTATTTGTCAAAATGCTTTTCGATTGCTCCCAATTTTCAGCAAAAAATTTATTATATTCGCAAGCTATGCCACCTGCACCAGGCAATTAAAATATTTCCATGATTTTATCCAATTGCTCCGCCCAAACTATTTTCCAATAAGAAAAAAACCCTGAAGTGATAAATAAATAGACTGAATGGTCGACTAAAATGTTAAGTATCAATGCGTAAATCGGGCTCAATAATATGTCGTAATAATCATGGGGTCAGGATCTTTCCAGCGTGCTGCCACATATTAATACTCATAATATGTGCCCGCGGATGCGTGACGTCACGCGATATAAATAAAATAATAAAAACAAGTAGTTGACCGAGCCTATTTGGCAGGAGACATTTAACCATTACTTTATGCGTTAGTTTTTCTTTTTCATTTTTTATTTCTACCAATACAATAGGTAGCAAGCTGCCGAATGGATCCGTAGCTATTCAGACAATGATTTTTCCGAAAAACATGAAAATTGAAATATCGTGAAAATTTTGTAGGAACACATATATTCGGACTGAAGCGGCGATAGTAGCCACTCGGGTGGTGTGTGACTTTGAAGGTTATCCAAGCTAAGCAACGTTTAGTGAGGTTGGTACTTGGATGGGTGGCCATTTAGTTAGACCTCTCTGGGTTAGAGGTACTCTGTTCATCGAGCCAGTGTGACTGATGAACACCGCAGAATGACTGCATTACCGATCAGCTGCATGGCTGAGGTTTTCCATGGTTTCCCTTAGTACAAGTCAAATGGGTGCAGTTCAAAAATCAGTTCATGGTGCCTCAAAAAGGCAAAGGATAGTAGGAGAGGCTCAAGGCTATAAGACGGGCGGCGCCTATAAAATCGTCATGGTAGTAGGTGCAGTAGATACAGAAAATAAATCTAAATATATATTCTCACTGATCTATGTAAAGAACATTGAGGGACAGTAAAAGAAAATTAAATCGCTTATATAGTTTCTGAGATATGGGCAAAAAATGTTTCACAAACAATCACCTATATCTCAAAGCTGCTCTACCGATTAGGTTGAAATTTAGAACAGGTCGATCCCATATTAGGACCTATGGACTGACAAAATTTCAGATTTTGGGAATCAACTTACCAATTTATTCTTCTCCTTTCCTAAAAGTTGACCATTAATTTGATAAATTTTCAGATTTTATGGGGGTCCATGACAATTAAAAGAAATAATGAAACTTAAACCAACGGATAATTACAAAGGACTGATTCGCGTATTTCCATTTTTTCGACAGTTCTATATCTACATTCTATGCAATCTCAATTCATTAGAATCTTTGGGAGTGAGTGAATGAACTGGCGATTTATTAACTACTAAAAAATATTGCTGAAGAACTTTATTGTGGTTTCATTATAACGGAAATGTCACCATGAGATTGACTTTCCGGAAAGAATTACGCCCATATAAACAAATTTCTTATAAAAACCTTAAAACGTATTTTTATTTAATTTCAAAATTCGAAAACAACCTTTTTTTGTCACTCCATAATTCTCGACAGAAAAATGTCTCCAGATGTTGATTTTTCATTATAATTTATTGTAATCGGCATTTCCCATTTCTTTTGAACTATTTTTCGTAATATTACAAAGAAAAATTGACTGACAACTGAATGAAAAAAAAAAAAACGAATTTTATCTAGAGCTGTTTAAATCTCAATATTTCGTCGAATAATAAAGAAAGATATAACTCACTGAAAATATTCTGGTTTCTACAGAGTCTATTAAATTCTTGACAATTCGATATGATAATTTTTTAAAAACTTGATATCGACCTGAGTAATAAAAATGATTATAAGACTTATCGGTTTAATTCTATGAAGCATTCAACAGAATTAATGATCTTCGTTAAATTATTTTCAGAAATTGGAGCATGTGCAGTAAGAGTTCCTACACGTGGGGACCCCTCGATAGCAAAGAATCAAACACTGCCCATCATGGGTGCACTGCCTCCAAGCTAGACAAATAATTTATTTAATTATTCACCGAACAATTATGGATTATTATCATTGCTTACCTTCAGATTCAACAATCAGGAGAAAGGCCACTGCCATCACTACCAGCACTGCGGTTAAAAATTTCATCATTAAGCTTAATGTCGCGGAGGAGTTGACTGTTCAGAAGATTCTACGCATTTGGTAATGCCACTCCTTCTAATCTCATACTTATACCCTTCCTACTTTCCGGACGATAAGAATAATAAAGATAATCTTTCCGAATGTTTATCAAATAAACCAAAAGGATGTATGCTTTTTCCTCTAACGATTGTGCGAATTTATAAAAAATAGAAAAAAATTCACTATTTCCTTATTCACCAAGAAATTTCGAGATATGACTAAAAATTGCAGTCAATTACTCTTCAAACCGATCTCTGACCCCTGCAAGTTTGCTCCAAATTCTGAGGAGATCATCTCCAATATTTTGAGAATCGAACCGATGAAATCTGTCGAACTGACAGAAATCGTATCAGATATCTCTGCATCTGCTACCCCTGAAGACATAGACTATTCAATGTTCAAATTTGGCACCCTTCAATTGAACATGTCCATAACTTTGTAATTAATTAATTCAATGGACATGCTCACATCTCTAAATTCCTTGCTAATTCACAATGAAGAAACAGTCTCTCCCAGAATGTTTACGATTATCGTGTCGTTTCTTACCGAGAACCGAAGAATTTATTCAAAGAAATTCATAGACGATTTGCCTTTCATTTGTTACGTGCAATAATCAGGGGAGGGAATTTCCCATCACCTGTGTTCTGTCGATGACAGAGAATTGTATGTGCACCGGGAAACTGCTGAATTGGTTTATGTACGTGAAAATTTAGACACTTGTTTTATTACTTGAACCTCATTGTCATACAGGAATACCTATATTTGAATCTTATCTTTCGTACATAAAAATTTTCACGTTATTAAAGATTAGAGAAATACGAGAGGCTATTCATAGGAGAAATAGTGGTGTCATTGCCTGTGCTAATTACTGGCAATCGCAGGAAAATCAGGGTAATCATTGGTAGTCTCTGCCATCATTTTTAGTCAGTGCAACTTCTCATTTGTTTAACCATTCCTGAAAATTCAGTACCAATGAATATTGATTTTTCAATTTATTAGATCGAGTTATACTTAAAATTTAATGGAATATGGTGGGAACAAATAAATAATTTAAACACAGTGGATTAAATACGTTAATTTTTATTTATTAAAAATGGCACGAGGAAGAAACGTCTGTTCTCTAGGACCTGCTGCAGCAGACTAAAAGTGGTCAACGAGACCAAAAGAAAAATCGTCATCATGAGACAAAAGATCTCCAGTCCCTTTGCCACATAACCTCATTGCTTATGTTTATGTTTTAGTCCTAACATCTCTCTCTATGTTGATTCATTTTTGAAACCATAGAATAGACTCATAAAAATCAATTCATAGAAGACTGAGGCTATATTCCAACAAAAATCTATAACGAAAAATATAACGGAGTTGACCATCATGTAAACTCAGGTGACAAACTTCGTATTTTTATGTTTCAGACCGTTCTACATAATTTACAGGCGAAATGAGAAAATCGAGAAATGGAACGATTGCAATACTTCGATTCGGAAGCAAAAAACGGGTTATTGAACGAATGGAGGCATTTTGTACCTGTTGCGTTGTATCACTGGGGTGCAGAGGTATTTGAGACTATCTTTGCATGCGTTGGAATGCATTAATGCTCGCTCCAAGAGCTGATAAGAATGGTGAAGCTTAAAAAAATAAGTAAAAAATTGGCGAGATAGTGGTGAAAAAAATGGTTTGTGTAGCACGGTAGTTGACGGCAGTGTTTTTTCACACAGATGATATCGGTTTTTATTCCTCCAGTCGACCTCCCTCACTTGAGAAAGACTAATGTCCGGAGGAATAGCCGGTAAATCAAGACGAGATATTCCGAGTTAAATGCATCATCCCACAGAATAAAAGGTTTGGCGATTGCACGAGAAACTTTTTTAAATTAATATCTCGAGTTCATTACTTCAGGCGACTCAGGAATATTTTATCAATCTTATTAACTTTTTTTTTACCATTGAACAACAACAACGCCCGGACAAATTTTTCATTTAAATTTCCCCTAACAGTCTTGGCCGTAATAAAACCAGAATAAAATTTCTGAGGATTCCTTCGCACTCACTGAGGGAAACGGAAAAGGCGGATAGGTGGGATGATTTCTTCTTTTACTACATGGATTACAGAAACTATTTTAAAACAGACGAAATCTTTATGACATGGACTAAGAATCTGACCCTGACTACTAATATTAGTAAGAAAAACCCCGAATATTTCGAATTATATTTTTCAATGCATTGTGTGCAAAGTGACATTCTACCTTCCATTAACTTTAATTTCCAGACATTGTGATTAAAAATACGGTTCGATAATCGCGGAAAAGTGTTTTTTATCACTTGACCCGGTCTAATTTCATCCTTTCCGGTTCTAGACCCGCTCAACACTCGGTTAGTTCGTCCTCGTGACAAAAAAACAATGTATTTTATATCGCCTGAAAACCATTATCTCGACAAATTCAATCCCATGACAAATTATTATGTAAGACTGGTGGGATTATATCACTCGCCGTTGACTCGTGCCATAAACCTGCCATGAGTCCAAAAACACTTTTCCGCAATCGTATCAAAAAATCCGAATAAACAATCTCCATACCCGTGATTCAAAAAACGGAAACTCCCAAGATAAGCTATTATCAGTGTGAATCGTGTTAGAACAGACTATTAATATCTATATATGGATGGAGATCTTATAGGAGCGTCTTATTTACACTGTGTTGGAATCATAAATGAACCGAACTGCTCATGGGAAATAAAATTTCAAAATTATAACGACGTATTAAGGCACTGCCCGGATTTTTATACACAAAGAAATTGGTAGTTCTTTACATCCACACATTTTTTTCTAAAAGTGCCCTACCATTCAGTGGCCTGCTCAATTGACAACGGGAGATAAAATCGAAGTGGTAATAATGCATTGAGACATAGTTAGCAACTGATTATAATGTATTTATCATTGGAATAGAGTCTTACAATACGTATCGATGGAGCCACATTGAATGGACTAAAACGAGAGCGGGTGACACTTTAAGCTATATTTTCTTTTTTCTCCAAGTAAATGCAAGTAAAAGAATTCCAGTAAAGTGAGGAACTGAATGAGGAATTCCGTGCAAGAATTATAAGCTAATGCGAGAAGGTGAACTCGAAATCATAAAACAATGTATATATGCCATAAAAGTCATTTATTAGTCTAGTATGTATATTGAGGTACTTGCAATTTTTTACTGATTACAAAAAATTTGCAAATGGATCAGACTTTAAATATATAGTGTTAGAATATCAAGTTAAAATTCATAGAAATCTATTGAACTAATTTATGATGATTACAAAAATAAATTGATATGGAGGACTCCACGGAGTCACCTCAGAGTTTGTATAAACATAAACAATGGTTTCACAAGAAACTATTGTAGGGTTCTTTCTTTGGTGACGAATATTCTTATGGTCTTTGTGGCTTGTCTTTAGTCTCTTGGAGATATTGATAGAGTTCAGACGGTATTCCTCCTCGAGCGATTTTAATAAAGAAATAGTGATTAGAATTTATTAACTGTTTTAATTAATTTAACTATCCCATTTCCAATATATAGCAATAATGTGTCAATAATTTAACATTATAACAACCGTGCAAATAAATATTATGTGTACTGATTTCAATACTTTAAATAACAATAAAAAAATGTGGAATTATTATTTTGTAAAAATATTGAAATTTTTATTAGACTTATGCAGGACAATTCAAGTTATTTTTAAAAAATCAAATTACTCGGGACTAGTGAATATAATTTATTTGACAAAAGTTATTATTTTTCTCTGTGAGTATATTTACTTTTAGGCGGTTCAAAATATTTTGCAATCCGCTAAAGAAAAAATAAAATTAGTCATGATTTTCGAGTGTTTCCAGCATCCCGCTGATCCCCAGGGTAAGCCCAGGTGGTCCTCAGTACACAACACCGCAGGGTGTACAGCTCGTTAAATAAATAATCATACCCGAGTGAATTACCCTCACCCAAGTAGAGTTGTCTGGGTCACGGTGGCGAGGTACCTCCGATCCGCTACCGGTCATCAGATCCCTCAACGTCAATCAGAGGCTGATCATTTGAAGACTAATTCAACTTCCTCTTTCATTATCATCTCGCGGTTTCTCATAATTCCACGATGACTCCAGCACAGACTTCGAGATTCATCTAATCACTAGTCAGCTATTAAGGTCACACTTTCTCCAAGACTACAATGGCCGTTGTCCAGGGACTAGTAAATCGCGTTCCCTATAATTTATGACTCTTCAAGGGTCACTGGAGCTGTCGATTAAAAATACTTCCGAAGCTGGTTCTTGGTTAGTTCAACTCAGCACAATGCACCGTTCGGGTTTCAATGCAAATTCGAGATGCATAATCCTTATTTTTAGTGGAATAATAATTTATCACCTCATTCGTTCTTATTTGGGAACTGCGGGAAATTAAATTCTGTTATTTACGAGGGCTTTTAATCGGACAAACTATAGCGTGTGAGGCAATTCTCGATCTAAGTCAATGATTTTGGCACGATGACTGGTAGGAATGACATTTCCGGTTATTTCTTTTAGTCACCACGTGAATTTGTGAATCGATATGATGATCGCCTACTTTTCGGAATCATTTTTCACGCTTCAAGGCTTTAGAAAACTTGTCTGATGGCTGTCTATCGTCGGCGACAATTGAATATCGATCATTTAATAGATATTTCATCGATCTTTAGATTTCCTATCTGACATTTTTCATTCCCGTCATTTTTTTCTTTCTTTTCCCTCGCGATCAATCGACATCAAATTGAATCACGCGCGGAATTCTTGATTAAAAGGGATAAATGTTTGACACAATTCTTTAACGACAAATTTTTCGTAATCTATTCAATTGAAATTGGAGAGGTATTTGCACTGACAAAAAAACAATTACTGAATTAGTTGTGCAAAAGTCAAAGTACTTGGATATTCGTAGCAGAACGAGATAATTAATTCAATTGACTCATTCTGTTGAGTTTTCCGAGTGATTTTATCTTTTTTT